AAGCATCCCGCTTCCTCTGCCCGTGAGTGGACGTAGAGGTTGCTTCTGCTCTTTTGGAGACAGACCCCAAAATACTCCGTTTCCAGTAGCCTGTCAGACTGGGCAAATATTTTGGATGAACAGAAAACGTACTGTTTGGGAGAAGTTTCTCTCCTTGGCAGAGGAAGGGAAACGAGCTTAGCTGGAACATTTTGAAGCTCTGCTCCCTGGGACACCTTGCCAATATTTTTCTGCCTCCTCCTGCCCCTGCTTTCCTTTGCCATTAGCCTTGAAAGCTTTCTCCTTGGTTTGGCAATGCTTGACATCCACAATGGGGTGTTTAGATCTAGGAAGACCTCCTGCAAGCACGGCCGGGCTGGCCCCGATCCCCCCCATCTCTCATCCCTCCCTCCTGAAGCTCTGCTCCCTGGGACACCTTGCCAATATTTTTCTGCCTCCTCCTGCCCCTGCTTTCCTTTGCCATTAGCCTTGAAAGCTTTCGCCTTGGTTTGGCAATGCTTGACATCCACAATGGGGTGTTTAGATCTAGGAAGACCTCCTGCAAGCACGGCCGGGCTGGCCCCGATCCCCCCCATCTCTCATCCCTCCCTCCTGCTTCCTCGGCAGAACGACGGGCAGGACTTGGACGGCTGGTTTGCCAGAGGCCAGTGGTCTGACCGAGCCACCGCGCACCCCAAACTCAACCTGACCAAGCAGGCTTTGCCCTGGAACGAGCAGGTAAGCGGGCAGGGAGCAGCAAAGGGGGTGATGGTGGAGGAGGAGGTCCCAGCAGGAGGTCCAGCCAGCCCCTCACCGGGGAGCCCGCAGCCCGTGTCTCCCCAGCGTGCCAGGCTCCAAAGCCATCTCCGGCCATCCTCCTCCCTGCTCTCCATCACCCAGCCCGGCCCGGGGCTCCGCCTGGTCCCGCAGTCAGCGTGGTGCCCATGAGGCCGAGCTCCTTGCCCGCGTGCGAGGAGCCGGAGGGTGCGTGCTGTGGGTGGGCATCAGCTCCCTCGTCAGGGTGTGCCCCCACGCGTGGGTGTGCGAGGGGACGTCTTGCTGCGTGTCTTCTCCAGACGGGTCCAGGTGGGAGCTCAGCCCTTCCTCAGTGTCACTGCAGAAGAGCTGAGGCCGGGCAGGACATCAGGGGCTTGACATCCGCGTTTCAGCCTGCCCTAACGCTGTCCTTGGGAGGCGAGGGGGAACGTGAGGAGGACACCCCGCTCATCTCCCTCTCTTGTCCCCCAGTACAAAGGGAAGGCAAACTTGCACGTCTTCGAAGACTGGTGTGGCGGGGCTGTGAGGCACCTGAGGAAGAACCTCCATTTTCCGCTCTTTCCTCACGTGAGTCCCGGCCCCGATGGCGGTGGGTCAGAGGGAGGGTCTGCTCATCCCTCTCTGGGTGCTGCTGGATCTCCACTGGCTGTGGGCTTGGTCCTCGAGACCTTTGCTTGCAGGCTTTCAGGTTTGGTTCGGGGCAGGTAATTCCCAGCAGAGCAGGGATGGAGGGAGAGGTGGGCGGTGATGGGACCTCCATGTCCCCTCTGGTGCCAGGGACATGAGATGCTGGGATAACAAGGAGGAGGTGGGTTGGGTGATGTTGGTGCAAGGCATGAGCCTGGGCATGAACTGTTCATGCTTTCATGTCCCTGTCTCTCCTTTCATGTCCCTGTCTCTCCTCCGCAGACCCGCACCACAGTGAAGAAGCTGGCCGTGTCGCCCAAGTGGAAGAACTACGGGCTGAGGATTTTCGGCTATATCCACCCCTTCAAGGATGGTGAGTGATGGAGCTTGGCCTCTTCTCCTCCTGCAGCAACGTGGAGAAGCTGCCTCCTTCCCCCTTCTTGGGCCATGTGAGGACAGAAAGCCTCTTAAAGACAGTCCCCAATCCCCTGGCTCTTAGGCAGGAAGGTCTTTCTGGAGCAAAGACCCTTTTCCCTGGTTGCTTCGAAGGGAGGTGAAGCCCCGATCCCATCCAGGACGTGGGGTCCGGGGTGGTCCCATCACCTCTGTCCATCCATCCCTGTTTCCCCATCTCACAACGAGGCACCGGGGCTGAGCGCATGCCTCCGGGGCTGCTGCATCCTTCTGTGGTGACCTTCTCTTTTGCTCTCCGCAGGAGATTTCCAGTTTTCCGTGGCATCTGATGACAATTCGGAGTTCTGGCTCAGCTCTGACGAGAGTCCGTCCAACTCCCGGCTGGTTGCGTTCGTGGGCAAGGTACGTGCTGTCGTCCTTGACCCTCTGCCTTTCCCCGCACCGGGGATGCTCAAGCTCCCTCTGAGAGCGTCTCCTCCCTTGGGGTGCCTCGCTCCTCGCTCCCAGCATGCTGATAACCATCCCGAGTGCCTTTTGGGGATCCCTAGCGCGCAATTAACAATGTTTCAAACCCATGGGCGCTCTTTAGCCACCACAAATTCTCCCTTCTACAAGTCCTTCTGCTGCAGCGGCCCTTAAAGGGAGTGTGCAGGGTCCGTGCATGACTTTGCCAGAGGCAGCTCTCCTGCTTCTTTGCCCCCTTGGGAAATGCTGGGCTATTTCAGCTGGTTCCATCTCTGCCCAGGCCAGGCCTGATTTGGCCTCTGAAGGACCATCTGCCCCTTGGTCCCATCCTAGTTGTAGCTACCAAAGACCAGCTTAAGTCCCAGAATAGGAGACTTAATATTTGCTCCTGCATTTTCTTGGTGTTAACTCCCATAACTGGAAACCCTGTGGTCCGTCATCGCACCCATGCATTTTTGGGGTCTTGGTGGTGTTGGCCGGTGATACAAGTTCTTGTGGCAGGAGTGCCACCAGCTGGGGACAAGCAGGCCCTGGGGTAGAGCTCCTGGGATATCCTCCTGCCTGAAGAGCCTTTCTGCAGCATGGCATAGTGCCCGACGGAGGTGGAGGAGAGTTTCTCACAGCCTGGTGGGGTCTGGGCCTCGTGCCCGCTTGGCCCGTGGTGTCCCCGGTGCTCTCACTGCTCCTTCTTCCTTCCCCCAGCTGGGTACCGAGTGGACGGCGCCGGGAGAGTTCACCAAATTCAGCTCGCAAGTTTCCAAGCCTCTACGGTAAGTGTGTCCTTGCTCCCGCTGCCCATTCCAGGTGGATGGAGTTGGGGAGATGGAGCTGCTGGCTCCACGCTGACTCTGACCAGTTCCTCCTCCCCAGGAGGAGACCCCGGCCATGGTCTCTCCCCAAAAGGCACGTGGGGTCTGGGCTGGACCATGCCCCCGGCCCGTGGCTTGAAGGTGTTGGGGGTCGTAGCCACCTCTGCAATGATCAGGTGGGGACAAGGGATCCCCCGATGTCATGAAGCTTCTCAGCAGTGGGATGGGGGAGCAGACACCCCCATCGTGCTGCCTGTCTCCTTGCCTCAGGAAGGTTTAGCCACATGTGAGCAAGAGGGGGGTTTTTCTGAGATGGCTCCTCTAGCAGGGGAGCTCCCATCACCCTGCCAGTGGTAGCAGTCAGCTTAGCAACGTTTTCTAACTGGCTTCTTCCCCTCTTGCGCAGCCTCATGTCCTCCAGACGCTACTACTTCGAGCTGCTCCACAAACAAGATGACCGAGGTTCAGACCACGTGGAAGTTGGCGTGAGTAAATGCCCCCACCCTGTGCTCCTTTCAAGGCTTGTCCTGTTAAGAGCCAGCGCCAGGGCTTTTCCCAATGTGCGTTAAATGCTTTATCCTGGAGCAAAGCCGCGATTTTCCCCCTCCCATGGCTGCCAGCAGCTCGGTTCGCAGAGGGGAGGCGTCAGCGTCGCTCTGGCGCAGCTGGGGCTCATCTCCCCGTCTCCCTGGGCTATTCCTGTGCAGGACGCCTGGCACGGGCTGCTTTTCTCCGTGCTCATCGATCCTTTCGTGCTGCTGGCCCTTCGGGAGCTGCCTTGCCAATGAGCTCCGGTAATGGATGCTAACGGAGCGGCCCCTCTGCTCCGGGCTCCAGCGGCGCTGGGACACCCAGTTCCGTGTGGCCAGTCCCATCCCTTCTCCTTGGCCTTCTGCAGAAGGGCTGGCAGGGGGAGAAAGGTCCCCCGTGGGCTTCTTCTCTGAGGAGCCCATTGCCGTGGGCAAGGAGAGCCCAGACCGCGTAAGGTCAGAGCAGGCAGGTCCCAGGACACCGTCTGCGAGCGGCAGCCCACCTTGCTGGCTTGCATCCCGGGGTCAGTGGTGGGAGAGATGGCCGAGGTGATGGAGTGTCCCTTTTTTCTTTTCCCCCGTAGAGATACCCTGAGTTTCAAATCTGAACTTGTCTGCCTTGGCTGCACAACCCTCGCAAAGCCTGGAGCGTGTGTGTTGGGAGCTTGGGCTGTCTTTGGGAGGGGAAGATGTTGGCTCATTAGCAAAGGTTTCCTTTCTCCCAAGCAGTCATTAGTCACTGGAGTCAAACTTGTGCCAGCAAAGCATCAGAGAGGCTGACAACACCCCTTCCTCGCTGGCTGTCTCCTCCCCAGCGCTCAATCTCGCCCTCCCAGGGCTCCATCTCGGTCCATCCCGATAAGATCTGCATTTCTGCTGTGAAAAACAAATAGATGGGGGAGACGTTTTTTTGCTGGAGGGAGGGAAGCCGTTCAGATGTTCAGAAAGAAACAACAACAACAAAAAAGCAGGACCCTAATGCGTCTCTCCCTGTGGGTATTTAAGGGCTTGTCCCGACAAAGGCTCAAGACATGCTTTTAAAATGCACGTAGCTAGATCAGTGCAGGCAGCTGTGAGGACCCTCGTAAGTCAGCGCAAACTCATCTGCTGCTAATGTGCGTTCACGCGGCACCGGAGCGAGGTGCGGGAAGGAGAGGAGGTGGTGTAGGTCTCTGTGCGTGTTGGCTTTGGCTCAGGTCCTTGATGGGTGCCGTGGCCTCCCTGCTCCGTTCCCGAGGTTGAAGTGGGGCATGCGGAGCCGCTGCCCCGTGCCCGGCGTCGTCCCTCCCCGTGAGGCAGGACGCGTGGCTGCGCTGCCTCCCGTGATGTTATTGATGCTGCCCCTGCTGCGGGGCTGGATCTGGCCTGCCTGGCCCAGGGAACCACGGGTGGCCGTGTGGCAGCCCCGAGAGAGAAGCAGCATGAGCCTGTGTCCCACTGCCGGGAGCCTTCCCCTCTCTGACCACGCAGGGGTGCCGGCTAATCCCAAATCACCTGGGGTGAAGGCAGGAGATGGGCCTGGGTCTGCGCTGGGGCAGGATCAGTCCTCTCCCTTGTTTCTCTCCTGCAGGGTCGGGCTGGGATCAGTGCAGGCAAGTTTCTGGGAGCTGGGGATGGGGAAGGACCCGTCCTGGGGTGCCTGGCGTGGGGCAGCTGCGTCCTGAACCCCTGCCACCCTCCCACTCATTCTCCATCTCCTTTCTTTTTTCCCTAGTGGCGAGTTTTCCTCCCCAGCTTGAAGTTCGAAGTGATGGACTCCTCCTACATCTCTCTGTACACGGGTAAGGGCCACGCGTGTCCGCCTGCAGCCACGGCAAGCAAGCTCTCGGGGGGGCTGTGCGTGTTGGTGCAGCCGGGGAGAGACGGCGCCAGAGCCTGGGAAGTAAACCAGATCCTGGGGGAAGATCTCAGCCTCTGACCCCCCCCAGAGCTTCTGCTGGGCGTAAGGAAGGAGGCAAGGGGCTGCGGTGGGTGGGGATGGTGCTGGGAGTGTGCTGCGACCCTCCTAAAAATGGGATGCGGAGGTGACACGCCACAGAAACACAGCTCTGGTGCTCCAGCCTCGTCCCTGCTAATGAGACCGCGGAGGGCTGGCTCCTTGGCCTGGCCCTGAGTTATGAGGCGCTGTCATGTAAGCAGGGATGGATGGCGCACGGTTTAATTAAATCTATAGATCTTCTGCTTCCTGCCCCTTCCTGGCAGCAAGAAAGGACTTGATAGATTGGTCCTGCCCCAGTGCTCAATACGCTGGAGGGCTGGTCATCCAACATGCCCTGGAAGGTGTCGATAAGGCAGGAGGGGACAGGCAACAGGCGGGGATCAATGGGGAGAAGAGGGATGGAGGGGTATTACTGGTATTGATGCAGGTGCCGCTGGGATGGATGAAGTGCAGATAAATTTCCCCCTGACCGCTATCCGTCAGTGCCGGCTCTTTCTGCTGCTCTTTCCTGCTTCCCGGCCCCTCAGACCCCAGCAGCTTCCCGGGGCGAAGCCACACCGCTCGTGGGGAGCCATCCCCATGGCGTGGGGGACGCCAGCAGTGCGCAGAGCATCCTCCTTCCTTCCCTTTCTCTGGGCTTTTCCAGGGGTCGCAGCCCAACCTCAGCCAGCTGCACGGAGGCGTTTGGGGAGCCTTTCCCTGCTGCAAGCAGAAGAATGTGGGGCTCGGGAAAGGGGGTCCTGTTCGCTTCAGGACCTGCCTGCTTGCCCGCAGCTCCGCAGCAGGCAGGGCTGCCTGGAAAGGGAGCACCCTTGGGTGCTCGGGGCAGGCAGCTCTGAGCATGGTGACCGGAGCAAGGTGACCTCCCTCGGGGAGGTCTGGGGGCTGGTTGATAGCCAAGGACAACGTGCCACCCTCATCCCGGAATAGGAGGCAAAACCAGCTCATGTTGCATTTACCTGCACCTCTACAGGGGAGAACATTCACGCTTTAATTCCTGTGTCCTTGGAGTTACAGCCCCCGAGCGTTCCCACCCCTTGTCTCTGAGCGTGATGAGGATGCTGAAATCGGAGCTGGGCTGCCTGGCTGAGATCAGTTGTACCCTTGTCCTCTCGGTGCTCATTAGTTGATGGCAATAATCATTAGACTGATGAGTCACGGGGTCTGTGAGCGTGTGAGAGGGCTGGAGGAGGTGGGTTTGCCCTCCTGCAAACACATCGGCTCCCCTGGGAGCAGGAGGAATCCACGATGCTCCAAGCCCACTTGGTGGGAGGGATGGAGAGGTTGGGCAGTGCCACCTTGGAGGATGCTCCTGGGACAATGCGCTGTATGTGTATGCCCGTCGGGTTCAGCCCCTGTCCTCGCCCTCTTCAGATGAATCGTCCCTGAAGATGAACCACGTGGAGCACATCCCGCAGACCTTGGCCAGCCACAGCGGGAGCTACCTCTGGGAGGCACAGCAAGACGAGCATGGGGCTGACATGCTGAAGCCTGACCCCAGGGACACCTTCTTCCTCAGTAAGTTGCTGGGACCGGATCCTCGCACATCTCTGGGGTTTTGGGGGAGGAAAAAGGCAGGACCTGCTGCCACAGGCACCCGGAGCATCCCTCCTACCTTCTGCCCATCTTTTGGGTGGAGGGCATCTCTGCTGGGGTCTACAGGGGGCAAGTTGGGATGGTTTGGGCTACGGACTATAAGGTGGGTTGGGCTACGGGGGTGGTAGGGCACGGCTTGGGGCTGAGCCGCGGCTGCTTCTCCTCAGCCCCTCCGATCGAGGCCTCCCGAGTCGAGGACGTGCTGGTGCCCTGTGCCTACAGCCCCACCTACGTGGTGAAGGACTTCCCCATCGCCCGCTACCAGGGCCTGCAATTTGTAAGTGTCTCCCCGCGACAGGGACGGGGTCAGACATGGCAAAGCAGCGTGCTTTGCCCCCATCCCAGGGCAAGGGACGTTTCCACCTGGTTAAAATTCAGGAGAAAATGTCCCTCGCTGGAGGATCAGGCTGAGCTTCCCCATCCTGACCCGAAAGGGTTTGGGTTAAAAGCCCTGTGGGGTGTTTGAGATGCTGGGGGTCACCTTGGCGTTGAGGGGCCGTGCCGCTGGCCTTGGGTCCACAGCTCCTAGC